TTCACCCTTTTAATGTGTATAGCTTAGTGATTTTTTTAAAGTATATTCAGACTTGTGCAACCATCACTACAATCAATATTAGTACATTTTCACCCACCCCAAAGGAAACGCCAGAACCATTAGTAGTCACTCCCCATTCTCTCCCCAAGCTCCCTAGCTCTGGGTTACCAGTAAATCTACACTCTTTCTCTATAGCTTTGCCTATTCTCGACACTTTATATAAGTGGAATCATATAATATGTGGTCTTTTGTGACTGACTTCTTTCACTTAGTAGCATAACATCCTCAAGGTTAGCATAACATACTCAAGGTTCATATATGTTATAACATGTATTAGAACTTTATCCCTTTTTATTGCCAAATAGTATTACCTTTATAATTTTTAATTGTAATAAATGCCTAACTAAAATTCCTAATTAAAAGCCTGGGTATTAATAGCATCTTAAGGTAGACTATCAGTATGATTTCTGGTCTTATTTCTTAGAAAGGGATCTATCAGAGTAGCTCACTGAGGTTTATGCTGTTCATATCCTTCTGAGAGCTAAAGGAAGGGTAGCTGGTTCATTGAGCTGTCTGTGCCTATAGTAAGAGCAGTTGTGACTCGTGAAGTCCCAGATTTTGTAAAGCAGTCTACTGTGGTATTTTAGTCTCAAAGGTGAGATTTTGTTTTGAAAAGAATCCTCAAGCCAGCCATAAGGGCACAGTTGTTACAGTGGGCCCTCATAAGTCAGTGAGGAAACAAATGTTTCTGTTTTAGCACCTATTATGTTAGGATATTTAGGTGTGGTATTAAAGAGGAGAGATTAATGCTTCATTATTAAGTTGAAGAGTTAGTGTGGTATTTGTAACTTATTTTTTACCCGATTCTCCAAAAATAAATCTAAAGATTCAAATATTTTCTTGACGGATACTAATTTGTTTTCTCTAAGAATACACATTTATCATTTTGTTGGTTATTCTCCAAAGGTCTCTAAAATTGTATGATAATCAAGAAAGGTCCGGATGGGTTTGGTTATTTATTTTTGTTGCTATGTGAGATTTCTGTCCTGAGAGGACATGAAGCTAACCTTTAGTCAAGCTGTTTATTAATGCCTTTAAAATCTACTATCTCACGTTTTGTATGAGCACAGAGCATCTGAATGGGGTCACTGAGATCGGTACAGTTGTTGCCTTGTTCCCTGCACAGGCACCAGAGCAATGGAGCTGTCATTGCCCGCTGTGGACAGCCAGAGGTCAGCTGGTGGGGCTGGCGAAATGCTGATGATGAGCACCTGGTGCAGTCAATAGCCAAAGCTTGTGCCTCTGACTCCCGATCAAGTGGCAACAAGCTGTCAGCTAGGAACAGTCCTCGAGACTTTGCCAACGCGGGAGACCTTTCTGATGTGGAGTTTGGTAAGGTGCTCCCTGGACCCCTGGCAACAGGTTTTATAGCATCTGAGAATCTTCTCTTGAAATGGCCTTTTCCTTAGAAGATACCAGATTTGTTTCATAGAAGAGCGTGAAACTTCAATTGATGGGATTGTTTGAGGAGTCATGGGTCTTGGCAAAGAACCAGAAAACCCTATGTTTCAGACTTGGTTGAAGAGGACTAGAGTGTTCGTCTTTCTTGCCATCATGACAATGATGACGCATGTATGTGATAGGGAGCCTGCAGCAGTGTCTGCAGACCACGGGGGAAGACACCAGGATGATGTTGTAGTCATTGTACGTTCTGCAATATAGAAATGAGGTATAGGAGGTGGTAGACAAAACAGAAGACAAACTAAAGGGAGAAGTCTTATGTATTAAAGTAGTTCTGGTTACATGGATTTCACTTAATTGAGTTTTGGGGGGACTTTAATAAGTGCCTATGGTTCTTATTTTGCAACAGTTCTGAGAGAGACAGGTTCATTAAAATTTTCCTTTCTCCTTCTCATGTCCCTAGACTCTTCTCTGTCCAATGCTTCAGGAGCAGAGAGTTTAGCCATCCAGCCACAGAAGCTTTTGATCCTGGATGCACGCTCCTATGCAGCAGCTGTAGCGAACCGAGCCAAAGGAGGAGGCTGCGAATGCCCAGGTGAGGGGCACAGTGCTTTGTCCCCTGACCCTCTGTCCTTGTGAGTCCAGCCCATGCCCAATGGTGTCTAAGTTCTCAATTTGAAATGAATGGGAAGCCATGCTCCTCAGCCTGTCCTGAGAGAGCCAGAGCTCTTTGGAATCTGGACACTATGCTTTTCTCAAGAGAAAAATGGAAGAGGAGGTGCAGTGAAACCAGTGAAATGAAATAATCTTCTTTCCCTGTGCCAACCTTTAAGTAATGAGGAAATTAAGTCCTCTCCCATAATAAAATCTGTTCATGTTTGGAAGCTGCTTCTTTAGCGTCTCGCTTTTCTAAGCCTTCTAAAAGCTTTTTGTTGCCTTTGACAATGGCTGTGCTCATCCCTGGCCTCACAGAAAACTCCTTACATGGCTTCTACTTAGAAAACCTGGGGTGGAAATTGAAGCACTAAACACAAAACTCTAGCACAGTGCCTCTGTCCTGACCTGTAACACCCCTACTGTTTGAACGCTGGCTTTCTCCAAGGAGGGACCTCTTTGGTGCCAGTTGTGCGCTGATGGAGCAGGTAGAGGCACTGAGCTCCTTATCCAGATGTGCTCTAAGCTGGGAATTAAAAGCAGTTGTACCAAGAAATCTGAATGCATGAAGCGGCATTGTTCTCCAAGGTTCTTCTCAAAGAGATTCCAGAGATGCAAGTTAGGAGAGGCCCAAGAAGTAAACCTGGGGTGAGATGGAAGTATATGGATCTTGTATAAAAGCTTCTAATTTATGCCAGTATCTTCACAAATCTAACCTTCCTTTTTGACAGCTGAAAGTCAAGCACTGTTTTCCTCTCATTAATGAAGGACTGGGCTAATAGGCATCAAAACATCGGAGTTTCATTAGCAACTGCAGTAGCCAGTTTGCTTCTTTTAGATTTGGCCATGTGAGCTTTAAATTCAACATATTTGTATTCTCTTTATTGCTGTTCTCTCCAGAGTATTACCCAAACTGTGAAGTTGTGTTTATGGGGATGGCAAATATTCATTCAATTCGGAGGAGTTTTCAGTCTCTGCGATTGCTATGCACACAGATGCCGGATCCGGGAAAGTAAGACCTTGGCCTTGACTTTAATTTTGCATTGCTGTTTTTTTTTTAAATGAGTTTGAAGGGGTCTTTCCTGCTATTTATTGGTAAACTTCAATTTTACTTTCAGACTCGGGGTATTCTCCTTGCTGTGTTAGGAGCTTGCAGGACAGAGGAGGAGCTGGGAGGAGAATCTACTCTTTGAAAGGTTTAAAGATGTGCAGCAAAGGATAACCTCAGCCCTCAGAACCAAAGCATTGCCTTCTTATTTTTCCTGGGATTTCTTTCTTCTCCTCTACATATTTTTGACCCAGAGTAATTTAATTCTTTGGTTTCTGACATCCTGTAGTGACACTTAACCTGCTGTGAAATGGAATGTTTTACCAAGAAGAGTGAAATTTTATTCATCATGTTCTGAAAAGGGTTAAATTTTCTTTAAACTTGCCATTAGGTCAGTTCCTTTTACATTTACTTCTGATTTCTAAACTACCCTCTTAGTAAAAACATTGCTGTATTTTTATTGCTTATTAAAGATGAATGGCTGGCATTTGCTGGGAGGAAGATGGAATAACACCTCTTCCCTCAAGGGAACTGTTTGAATACATGGTAAATTAGGAGGAATGCTCTATAAAACAAATATGGACAGATAAATATTTAAAAGCCCCTGTTATAGTATTTCAGGAAGCCAGAAATGGTGCCAGAAAAGATAGAATTTTCTCTTCTCTGGTGTTTGTGCTGGAGCCCATAGCTGCTTCCCTGGGTTCTGGTTCAGTAGATTTCATGATTGCATCAATTCTCAGCATTCTTTATGTGATTTATTAAATCAAATGGCTGCCTGAACCTCTTGTACTATCTCCTGGTAGCAAACGATTAAATTCATCATAGTTGCAATTAGCCCAGAGGGTAAAGCAGTTGTCCTTGGGGAAAAGCCTGATGGAAGAAATGAGCTTGCTGCCCTGCTTTGGGTATTATCAGCTTGCATCTGCTGCACATTTTCAGAACCCAGATTATAGCATTCTCTTTCCTAAAGGTAGGCCATAGGAAGATCCTGGCTGAGGATTCAGGAGATCTGCCACTAATTGTGTGACTTTGGCCAGCTGGCTTAATTCCTGTCGATATCTCTTTTTCCTGTCTGTAAAATAAAAGGAATAGAGTCAACACTACCTGATCTGTAATACCTTCCATAAATTAAAATGCTTTCTTAAAAAGCTGTTCTTTAAACTCTAAGTTTAAAAAGATGTAATTAGCTTTTGCCTGGTCCAAAAGAGTGTTGGGGAGGAGAGGGAGGTTGTAAAGGAAGACGGAAATACTTTGTCTGTATTTGGCAGCAAATCATAATGCATTACTGAAGCTTCCCTTGTGGATACAGAGAAACTATGGCAGGGCCGGGA